AAAAATGAAGGATTTAAAATTATTGAAAAAATTTTCAATATTTTAAAAGGAATAGACAGTTCTATGGAAAATATTGAAAACTTGCAAGTCAACGATTTACAGTTCTATAAATTTGCTCCACTAACATCTGTTGATGTCGAGCGTTCATTTTCAAGGTACAAAAATTTACTGGCGAATAATCGCCTATCATTTACGTTTAAAAATATAAAACAAATTTTAGTGACGTAGTGCAATTCATTTCGTTAAGGTTTAAAAAAAATTGTTAAATCATTAAAACAATATGCATTTATAAATTATATAAATTTTTGTATTTTTTTTCTCTTTAAAGGCAAGCATAAAGAAGAAATGAAATATAAGTGCACCTTTATAAATTTGTAATTTCTTTACGTTTTCTACGAAAAATAAAAAAATATTTTAGAGCATATTTAAGAGCATATTTTAGCATTTTTGTAAATTTTAATAGCATATATGATAATTTTTAATGGCATATATGCATGCATATTTTAAGGTTTTTAAGGGCATGAAGTCCCTAGCCCTAGTTATTATACATAGTATATACACATAATTTGGTGCGCAATTGTGATGTAATTAGTCGGGTCAAAAAAGGAAAAAATACGCAATTGTGATGCAGCAACGGACCTCCAGTACAGACACGGAGCCAAGAGGGGGACTCTAGCCCCCAGAAAACAGTTCAGCCCCCGTGCCAGACCACTCATTAAAAAATATGTATGATATAATAGTCATAAAACATTTTTAAAAGAGCTACATCAAAGAACTTATGAAGTATACTTTTTAAAAATTTGTAATTTATATTAAAAATGTTTGTATTTTTTCATATTTTCAAAGATTTGTGTTTTAAGCTTTTAGATAGACTCTGAATCGTATATATTTATTTTACTTATGATTTATTACCATTTATTCGTTTTCATTTAATTATGATTGTATGTCACGAAAATAATAATAGCTATAGTATGTTATATGATACGAAAATATTTATATTTTATTTGAATAACCACAGTATTTGTTGAAAAAAACCTTAGCTCATGAAAAAAAAATGTTTACACCACTCTACCCCTCCCCATGGAAAAAAATTCTAGTGCCGTGCCTGCTTCAGTAAGCTTTGGATTCGGTCCATCACGCGGCGCTCCCATATATGTAAGCAGCGGTACAACATAATTAATCGTTCACATGAATAATTGTTATTACATTACCATTGTCATAAACTACAAAATCACATTAAAGAAGAGGTATAATACGCGCCTGTTCGTATAAATAATCGACACACAAGTATTGTTTTAGCTTACACTACAGGCGTAAAAATACATTTTATCGTATGAATAATAATACTCGTAGATGTACGATAACATGATTATAGATGGTAATCAACATAATATGTAGTACCATTGATTATAAATACTAGTATTTATAATCAATATTAATACGTATCATGATATAATATTTTATTCAGAAGTCTAGTTTAACTAAGACATTCTAGGTATATAGTCCAGATTTTTATCGTCATATAAGTAACATGGATTTGTTTTGTAATTTTTTCATTAAATTGTCAAAATATACAATGTTCATATAATTTGTCTATTTTGATAATATGAAAAATCTAGCTTTTCATTTCAAAATTAAAAAATAAAATCACAAAACTTATCTTATTATAAATATTAACGTAACAAATATACTTATAATTATAAAAAACATCCGTTCCATAATGTTAATTAAATATTAAATACAAATTATATTTGATAATTTTCACATTTTTATTCAATCACTTATGCTCATCAGTCTCTCGTTTTTACCCCAATATATATATATATATATATATATATGTTACGGGCAAAGTATACAATTTGGGCAATATAGATAACCGATGATATGATTTAATGAAATATGATAAATCGTAAAACATAGTTAAAATAAAGTCAAATTATTATCTAAAAATTATCGTCTGTAACTAGTTTGTTTGTTCTTATCGTATTTTTACAATGGGGATGTCCGCTTGTCCACATATTATACGTATGTACGTGACAATATATTATTACTATATTTACTGATTTATAAGTTATATTATATGAAGTTGTAGTGATTATCGTGCAGTCGGCCTTTTACCTATTCTCAAAAATGAACTATTTAGTAACCGTGAATCGTTTGTATAGTGTAGGTTAATTCATTCAGTGCGTACCTAACTACTTATTCGAATATGGAAAAATTTAATGAAGATTTAAACAATTTTTTTTAAAAAAAAAAAAAAGGTTCAAATACTTCATTTTTTACCAAGTTAAAATTTGATCAATTAATTTTACATAAAAATCAATTAAAAAACAATTCAAAGAAAAAGGAACCGAATGATTATAAACTTTTAAAAAAATATGACGTGTTAAAAGTTTCTGATGTAAATAAATTAATTGTACCAATATCTGAAAACAACGAAATTAAATATTATGTACATTTATCGATTGGACATGGTGAACGAAACAGAATGGAACACGAGGTAAATACAAAATATAAAAATATCACCAGAGATATGATTATGCTATACTTAAATAGTTACAAATTATATAAAATAAAAGGAATCACAGCCAAGAAAGGATTGGTGGTGCAATAAATTATATCTACTGAGATGAATTAATCAATAATATAAATACATGTCATTATTCATTAATTTATCATATTTCATTAAATCATATCATCTGTTATCTATATTGCCCAAATTGTATACTTCGCCCGTAACATATATATGAAAAATAATGATTTTTACCATTCCTGGCGATTTAATTACCTTATAGGTAAATAGGTAAATAAATACCTTAGAGGTATCTTAGACATATACTATTATAAATCAATAATTATTTAAGCACGTCAAAAATAACGGTTTAAAAAAAACCTTAGGATTGTATATTTTGGTATTTTAATGTCTTGTACTCTAGACCAATAGTCCACTGCATTTGCACACGAACGTAAAATCTTGAACCAATACGAATTACTGCTAATTAAATAGCTCATTTATTATTTAACTTTATACTATTTAGCACGTCATAAAACCGAGGAGATAAATAAATTTAAATTTTCAGTCCGTTTCGACTCAAACACCAATAAAGTTAAATTGGATAGACATTTATGTTTCATCGATTGCCTTTGGGGGTTTTCAAGTCGGGTTAACAGGAAAATGTTGATTCACAAACTGCTGATCCAAATACTTTAACTGCTGCTATCATTTCATATGTAGTTTTAAATGCTTTACGTTGTAGATAAAGCTCAAATAAAATGTCCTTATTAGATATATATTTTCTTTTATATAGTTTTCACACAAATCGTTTCTTCTTTTGAAGGAATATTAATATTAAGAACTTTAAGTATTTTAAAATTATCGTAATTAATTTGGTTTATGTTAGAAATAGCTTTAATAAGTTCATCATTTTCTTCAAAACGAGTTTCCATTTCTGATTTCATTATGTCAAAAACTTTATAAAATGTACGTAATAACGTAATGATAATATCGTTTTCGACATATGTATTGGTACTAGATGATTCACTTAAAATATAATTAATACATTTTATAGAAGTCTTTTTCTTACGTTTTGGAGATTCAGTTATGGTTTATTGTAATAAACTTTCACTTTCTTTTAAAATTTCATTGAACACATCTTTATTTCTTGATTATTTTAAACTATTAATCACACTATAAATAATTAGAATTACTGAAATTGAACCACCTTCTCTTGATTGTAAAATAGTATCAGCTGGTTAATGTTTCGTAAACATTTTAAAATAAGACATAAAGAAAATTTCATTTTCTTTTTTTTTTCATTGAAAACATTAGTCCTGCACATTGAACTACTTCATTGCCATCAAATGATTTTCCATGTACTTTTTCTAGACACTTTATCATAAAATCATAATTATTATAAATAATTTCACATATTTCTAAATCACCAGACCAACGTTGTTTTAATAATTTAACTGTTTTATTACCTTCGTATAATAACTTTATTTTAAATGTATTAAACACTTTATTAATGAGCCTACACTGATCAAAAAAGTGGCCAATTTCGGTTACTTCCGACACTGCCTTGATAATAACCAAATGCAATTGATGATTATAACAATGAACATATGGAATGATTCTATGCTCTTTTTGTATTCAAGCCTGAACACCACCTTTATTACCATTCATCACGCTATCGTCATCGTAACATTGGCTAAGCATGTAATCAGAATTAATATTTAATGATTTCATAATATCAAGTGTCATTCGCACAAAATAAACTGCATTTAAATTTGTTGCATTTTTGATTGATAAGACATATTCAAATGGTTTTTTCTATTTTTAACGTATCGTTAGGCTACGACAATATTTTTCCGATTATTTTTATCTTTTATTCTAACCTCCATTATTCTACTCCATGGAACATCTGCATTATATAACTCTTCTACCACACAGATTGCACAGATTTACACATTATGTCGATAATATTATTTTGTATTTCAGAGAATTAATAAGTAGCATTTTTAGGAATTAATTTAGCACATTCTACAAGTTTAGAATCTTTTTTTAGAGTTTAACGAAAAAGAGATTGAAATAAACCTTTATCTTTATGCATTTCTAAATCAAAATCACCATAAAATAGTAATTAATTCATGACTAAAAATAAAATTATTTCGAAAATAGATTTTACATAATATCTATGTTTTTCAAAGACATTTTCATTTAATAATGTTAAAATTAGTGAAGTTATTTCAATGTGTTTTTTGTTTGTCTGATAGTTTTATTACATAAAACGGTGTGATAAAGAAGATTAATGTTTATTAAACCCCTTACCCTTATCTAATACTTTTTTCTATTTATAGAGATTAATGAGACTTTAATTTTTGTTTTAACTAACTACTAAATCATAGTAGAGTATTATAATACTTATTTATAGTAATATTTCATTGATATTATAATTTACAATATTTTTTTGAATAATAATTAAATCGGTGTAATAACTTACCGTACATCAGGTCGATCTCTATGTCCATCTTGTTCCTTATACGTTGCACTAAAACATACAAAATCAATCGAATACGCAATTTATTATGATAGTTAATATACATTCTAATACAATACATAGCAGTATACTAAATTAGTGCAAGTATTTTTATGTCCTAAAAGCACACTACAAAATCAATATTCGAATAAATAGTAAACGGTAATTATTCAGTGTACATTCGTCAAACAATACTAACAAATTTGCTTAAGGATATTATATCTATTATACAATTTTTAATACGGGCTTGATAAATCTTTTCTTACAATTTTTTTTTTTTGTTTTTGTAAGTATCAAATTTATAAGATTTTTCATAGATTTTGCCTTTTCACAATAAAATAAATCCTGTTAGCGGACTCAGATCCAAGAGAGAAGCAAGTGAGTACATCTACATCCAAATTAAAAAAAAAAATAAAAATATTTCACTTAACTAAATGGATTATTTGGAAAATAATTTAGTTAAAGTATTAAAAAGAGCACTAACTTTTATATTCTATACCAAACACTTTTTTGTTATACAAACCTATTTTTATAAATATTTATTTATGTTTAAAATAATAAAATTAATAATTTAAAGCGTAAACTTTTTTTGGTACCAATAAATCATTTGATATGAATTATAATAGAATCTACAATGTGTACTCTCCTTTCAGTGATCCATAATAATTTTTAGTTAAAAAACATATGTTTACAAAATAATCCATTTATTTTTTGTAAAAATATTTTTGGTGTTCCATCAATTTCAACATGTTTGAATGAAAATCAAATATTATGTTACGATTATATAACGAAAAACAGTTTAGTGTTAACTAAAATAATCATAATAATCACCATATAAGATAACCTTAAATATTTATAATGCTGTTTGTAAACTTTAAATGTATTCCAATATATTTTGTACAATTTATTTAAATCATAACTTTATAAAATATATTTTTTTATTCGAACAATAACTGTACACTGTACAGTTTTGATTTCATTTTAAAATTATTTTGGAAATTATATATTTCATGATTCATAAGGTGGTACAAAGTAATTTTAATAATCTACTTTTATATTTCTTGTAGACATATGATAGGAAAATTAAATACTTTAAAATACATTAAATAACGACTAAAAGTTTAAAACTATATATTTGCTTGATTAAATTAAACAATCCGAACGCCAAATAAATATTTTTTTCGAACTCGTGGAGAAAATTTAGTCTTTATTTTGAAAAACAAAAGTTTTATAAGAATCTGAACTTTTCCCACGAGTACTAAAGATAATTTAAAAAAAAAAAATGTTTATTTTTTTTTATAATTCTTGTTGAACAGTGAACTATTGATGCAGCAATATACTGTAAAATAATATAATAATAAATTGAAAAGAGCATTTATTTTTCATCTCGTCGTCATACCCAATAATTTGATTGGATCATATCAAAATAAAAGATATATTATATCACTCTTTCCCCAAATCGACATTTGATTATAAATTATTTTATAAACAGTTAATATCAACACAAAATAAATAGATTAATATGAGTACTTAAAACCTTATACTATACATTTTAAACGTACTTAAAATATACATATATTGTTCAGTTTAGGCATTATACATTTTATGTTTTATAGTTATTTAAGTTAGTTAAGTTCACGAAAATTAAAAATATTATGAACCGTACACATTTTATATATATTATTATAGTTTTATTTAAGGTTTTATACATTGAAAATGGTTATTTACTTTTAAAAATAAAAGTACATATAATATATACATACATATATTTATATATGTACACGGTCAAGTCTATCACGAAGTTGACAACCAGTCAACATTTTTCTTTTTAAAACTCAACAGTCATAAAAATAATATTTTACAAGATCGAATAACTTTTAAACAAAGTTTATTTCATTATTTTTGAAATAAATTCACTAATTTTCTATGAACAAAACATATGGATTATTATTCAAATAATACGCGTATTATAAACTATCACAATTCTTCTTTAAAAAAAAAAACATCAAAAAACATATGTTGATTTTTTTCATTTTCAGACATATTTAATATGTTTAGAATTATACAGAGTTTTTATTTTAATCTCTAATTATTTATGTTTTAAAATAAAAACGTTAATTTTTTTGTTGGATTAATCTCATACGTATTTTCAGCAACTAAACATTTAACAGCACATCCAAAGACCTAGAGTGATTATTGAATTATTATTTCTACTATTTTTTTTATCATAATACAATAATATAACAAAACGCATAATAATAGCGAAAATTGAAAATTTTATATATATTTAACTTATAGAACGTTTTTAATCGTATATTTTACCAGTTATACGAGTACATAATGTTTTCGTTGTGAAAAATATAGATTTTTTATTTTAACTGTTAAGGAAAATGTTAGGGCACTAAACTCTGATTTCGCTCAGGATATCTGTAATGTTAGCCTTAGTTAGGGATATGCATTTCAAAGCTTATATTTTAAGTTAAATTTTATGAGCCATGGATTCAAGATTGTTTCCATTTTGGATAATTATGATTACATTCTTGACTAGTTTTCAATGTTATTAGTATAAATATAAACATTTATCCAACATTTTATTTATTAATTTCTTTTCGTCTTAATAGCATAATTTATACCAATTATGACGTGATACTAAGGCCGTCCTCCCACTTGGGCAACGCGACGCGACGCGATTTTAAATAAATATCGCGTGATAATCGTTGGTCTTATAAAACACGAATAAATATATCGGGGACTTCCCGCTGATTGAAAACAAATTTAAAAGAAAATTATTATCAAATATTTAGACCATAATATTAATAATTATTCACACTTATTCCTCTGCCATTGCAGCAATACATAAGGCTTAACAAAATATGTATATATTATAGTTATATATATGTATATAATATAGTTAAAACTTTCTTTCGACATTCGATAAAAAGATTGAAATTTAACGTCATCTTGTATTAATTCATTTACGGCAACAAAAATACGACAATTAATATTATTCTGTATGTATGGATGTACCCAATATCTCCTTTTCGTTTTTCGTTTCTTGTGGTTTTGATAATACCAGTATAATGCAATGGCATCGTCATCTTCAGAGGACGACATGTTTGCAACTGACCAATTTTAGTTGCTGAAACATCGTCTATAATGTGCAGAACTCACGAAATCAGATCGTACGATTTTTTGCTAAGCAACTATTTTTTTTAATCGCGTCAACGTCGCGTCGCGTCGCGTTGCCCTAGTGGGAGGACGGCCTAAACGATACTTACATTAATATTTTTTATTAGCTTCAAAAAATTGCTTAGATATAATACGATTTTTATACCTTTTTACCGGTCTCATTTCAACTTATTTATCAAACACTAATTTTCCTGAGACATCGTATAGAAATAAAACAAACAATTTATAGAGATCTGTTGCTACCGTATAGTTAGATTTTTGACTGCTCTAATGACTTTTATGAAATAGTTAAATTTGATATTTACACGGATAACTGATTTAAATATCACAAATCGAGAAAAAAAACTTTTTAATGTTCAAATTTAGATAAAACTCAATAAACTAAAATTGACGTCAACAGCTTCCTTCCATCAAAATTATCTTAAAGCCATTGATATTTTTTAAACTTTTGAAGTGATCAAAAATAAGATATATGCTGTTAAAATAATTTAATTCATGGCATTTAATAATTTACAATTATTAGTTTTGAATTAGACATCTTTGTTTCAATTGATACAGCCACTCTTAAGGACAATTCAGTTTGTAGTTTTATACCTATTGACTTTATTCCTATTTTATTCAACCTGTAAAAAATGCTTAGCGTACCATTTTTTCTCTATCAATGCTCTGAATTTACGATTTACGGCAGTATGAATGGTATATACATCTAATGGTCTCTGGAGAACATGGTAAATGCAAACAAACGTCCTTGAGCCAATTCGAAATAACGTCATAACATATGTACGATAACCAGAGCATGCTGATAACCCAAATATTGTAATTTCTTTATGCTCTCAATGAGTTCGATGTACTTATTGAAAATAATTGTTTAATAACTGATGATAATAATTGGTTATGAGCTGAGATCTAGCCCATGACTTCAGTATGACTCAGATATATACGTACATTATACATAATATCCATTAAAAGATGCAAAACAATGAAAAATGATAAGTAAGAAAAATAACTACTAATAATAAAATATTTTTAATTGTGCATAATAAATATTTTTCATATCCCCATTAGTATATATTATTTTATATTTAATGATAAAAAAAATTTGTCATCGATCATTATAAATCAGTACTTCATCCTAATCATGAGTTGTATTTATTAATATATAATGTTTACCATGAATACTCTTTTTCTTCTTTTACTAAAGACTAAACCTTGTCGTAGTGAAAATAAACTTACACGGCTCTGTTTCTCTCTGTTTCTCTCTCTCTCTCTCTCTCTCTCTCTCTCTCTCTCTCTCTCTTTTATACATGTCAGAGTTAATATCAATACTTATTACATCTAGCTATTTCAATAAGTTCTCCGATGAAAATCTTCAACCGTCTTCATCTTCCTTTGCATTGACTGGTTCTTTTTTCGATTATGTTGGTTGCAAAGCATTATGTCTTATTGTGTTCAAAGGCTAGACATTATTATATAACTTTAGAGTTATATTTGTGTTATAATTTTTCAGCAACCACTAAATTATAATAAAATATAATTTAATTTATAAGCAAGTTGTGATATGTCCATCTTCGATCATCCCTAATTTTTAAATACTATTTTAGAGATGGTGACCCATTTTTAATGTCTAATAAATTTTAAATGAGTCACCATCTCTAAAATATGATAGTATTTAAAAATTAGGGATGATCGAAGATGGACATATCACAACTTGCTTGTAAATTAAAATTAATAATAAACGGAATTTATTATATTAAATACAAGTCAACTAATTAATTGATGCAATGAAAAAATTTAAAAAATATCTATAATTTATACATTTTTGA